GATTAATTCTTCCACATACGAATCCATCAATGTCGTTACGACGCGCTTAATTATCAGGCGACATATACGGCTCTATGCTAATTTATTGCAAATTGCATATTCGATAAAACGTGATAATCAGCACGAGCGCGCGCGGTGTGTATATATTTCCGCAATTTATTCGCCGCAAAAATTGATTCGCGCAACAGTCACGTCCGTCGCGCGCCCGCCGGATTGCCCGCGTCCATATATACACTTGACAACGTTTGCGCGCAAGTAAACCATGAGATATTTAGAAAAATGCTTTCGCGCGCCGCCTCTCGTCTCTCGCCTCTCGCCTCTCGCCTCGACGCCGCGCGTTCTGCGCGCGCTTCGGTTTACATTGCGGCACGGGCACTTTCTCGCGCGCCGGAATGTTGTTCCAATTAATCAAATTCAACAGCTGAAAGTAATACGTGAATGGGCCAGAGAAACCGAATAGAGTTTGCGGCGAGGCGCGGCGCGCAGTCGGGTAACCCCATCGGCCTATTCGTATCGCGTTTCCCTGTGTATCTCTCTCTCTCTCTCTTTATTTTTTTTTCTCTCCCTACCCGCAAATAAAAATGTCGTTCCACGCCCGTGCGGCCACGGGCGCGCGTCGGTGCCTGACCGTTCTAAAAGGAAATATTTTCCAAGCTGGCTATTTCAACAGTTTGTAGCGATTCTACGAAAACTCCGTCCGAATATGGATGCGTCAAATTCACATTCGCTTTAACTCGTAAGCCGACGCGCCGTGGCTTTATCGCTCCATGAAATGCTCCGCTGTACGGAAAATAAATTTTTCGAACGCTCCCACCCCCCCTTCGACAAATGTCTAAACGCCGTTCTCTTTAGCCCCGGGATTTTTATCTCGCTGGTATATTAAATCGCGTACACAGTGACGTTTATACGACACGATTCTTTTTTCCAGCCCTGCGCGCCCAGGCGCGCGCGTATATACCCGCGTGCAGCGAGCGTGCTGCACGCGCGCGGCGTCGAGTCGATTGCAGCTGACATTGATAGAAAACGCTGCGAACGCGAACCCACGTGCGGAAGTGCACGTCATGTAGTGCCGTCGAAGGTACCGGGCGGTTCGGGTCCGAAAACTCATTAACCCTTCTTTCTGCGCCGTGATTATTTTGCGTCGTCGCGCCGCGCCGCGCTTCTTGTTTAACGCGCGGGGGAGTTAACGTAATAACTCCCGCGAGAGTAACAACATAGAAAAAGCAATTAAGTGAAAAGCAGCGGCGATGGGATTAAAGCTTTTTGAACGAATCACGCGTACCGAACGGGACCGCGGAATAATGCAGCCGGAAGTAGTTCGGGACAAGAGGTTGTCCTCCTCTTTCTCCCTCTCTCTCTCTCTCTCTCTCTTTTCCGTCACGATTCAGCAAATTGGCGCGTCGTTTCGGTCCGTATCTGCGAGGAAAGCGTTTATCTGCCGGTCGGGAGTTGCAGGATCGAGGCGGCCCCTGCAGGTCCGCCTGCCTTTCCGTCCGGAAATAAAACAATGCGCGGCGAACGAGTGTCGAAGTGACGGGCCGGACTGCGCCCGGGCAACAAGAGGCCCGGGCGCGCGTGGACGTCCCCCCCTCCCCCCAGCCCCGTGATTGTGCGTGTGTGTCATTTATTGTTGTCGCGACACAATAATTCTATTCCGCCCGGAGAGAGCGCTCCGATTAATCATCAGTGGGCCGAGCGCGCGATCACTCAGCGCTGTTTCGAATCTATTTCCGCCTATTCAGTCCTCGAGAAGTGACAGAGCGCGGCCGACGGTCTCGCGCGCACGACACGACATCGCCCGCCTCGCCGCTGACGCTGAATAGAATCGGATCAAGGCGTTTGATTAATTTTGCGCATTGTACCCTTTCCGGCTCTCCACGCGCGGGGACAAATACGCGAGTCTTATATGGACGATAAATGGAGACCGCGACACCGACGACGGACCGGTATACAAAATATCCCGCCGTTGTGTCGCCGATGGCGAACCAGACCGACCGTTTTAAAGGGCCGCCGCGCGAGTCAAAGAGGGATCGATGGCTGATTCGAGCGGAGTAGCGAAGGTGCACCACGGATATACATACATATGTATAATACGCGCTCCGATTATCGCGTTCGCGGCTGCTATTAACAGGATATTTACCGATCTGTAATTACCATCCCGAGCGATTTCGAGGGATGATACGGTCCGCAATTTCATTCGCGCCGGTCTGCTCCTGGATGGTACTACATGTGTCTGCGAGTACTCGACCCGACCCGGGGCTTAGCTTTCCTTGCTGAATTCAATTTCCCCGAGTCCACAGCGCGGCGCGGGATCGCAGGTGCGTTGAGTTGCTTCGATCGGCAGAGATTGCACGTTAGCGAGGAAAGAAAGTTACCCCCGTAGTCCCTGGCTCTTGATCGAGTCAACCGGAATCGCAGAGTATCGCAGGGCTTGATTTCCGTATCGGTTCCGGTTAATAATTTAGAAACGTTTCGTTTTTTTTTCAAGTTTTGTTATTTTCACCATAATATGATCGTTTTGAAGTAATATATCCGATTAGTCTGCAAGTCGCAAGAAGCAATAACAAATTGATATTCGTATCGCTGCATTAATAGAAAAGTAATACAAATTACAAATTGATATTTTTGAGATAACAAAAGAAAATCCATCGTAGAAACTATTATATTTTTGAAGAAAAAGACACATTTGTAATTTATTCGCTAATATGGGAAAATATCACAACTCTGGGATAACGGATGAAATTTTTATTAGGATTGCAGTGAATTTTAAAAACTCATGTCATAGTTAAAAAATATAATATAATTGAAAGTATAACATGAAAAGAAAGTTATAAAAATTGAATATTCACTATTCTAAAATTAAAACATTTTGTTCACAATTTAGAATTTAAAAAATGCTCTACTAAAAAATTGCTAATTTTGAGATGTCTTTCTTGTCAACGTACCGATAATATATCCGTAAAAAGTACCTTAAACGTACCTTAAGTTTGTAAATTTATTATAGCAGTATTTATATCTGTTCGCGACAAAATTATACGATATTCTTAGCCAAAAAGGATTTCGTAGTTTTCTGACGCATGAAACATTGTGCGGGACGACAAATATGTCACGGTATTATAGAAGATAACGGACTAAAATTGTCCGGCTGTTTCGCTTTAGGTCCCGTGCTAAACATAGACGATCGAAGGCGCCTATCGATCTGCCAATTGTGTCGACGACCGCGGAGTAATCGCGATGGAGTCAATAATCCATGATCCGCTCAACTTGGGAACAGCTCTATTCCGACGTGTAATTGGGATCAGTGCTTATCTGTTGGCGCACACCGTGTTCCACAGCCACGATCTCTCCTCGCCGTTTCGCCTCCCTTATACCTTCTTCCGATACCCTACCTTCTTCACGCAGTACGTGTGTATACCGTGAAGCAATATTTGCCCCGAGGATTAAATCATCGCGTACCAATTCGTTATGAATCTGGCTCTGATTGATTCCTGTCGTTTTAGCACGTGAACGAGAATCGAGATTGCAGAGTCATTTCTTTTCGCACACGTGGGAATATAATACGTACGTACAACGTCCGCTCCCGCGTCAGGGATACACCGCGATACACGCGTGTGCACGTGGACCAGTTGTCTTGTCCGTGATACGTGACGTAAATAGCTTTGTTTAAATAATCCCCGTCGCCAGGAAAAGGACGGTAACGCGCGGCGCGCGGAGCGAGAGACGCGCGCGCGGCACGTTATACAGGAACGGGAGGAGGAAGAGGAGGAGGAGGCCGACGACGACGACGACGACGACGACGACGACGAGCAAGCGGTGTTCCTAGCAACGAGCGCGCCCGTCGTAATGATATTCAGAACTTGCCAGCG